TTATGCACCAAGAGCTTGTAACACTCCAAAGAGAAAGGAAAAATTTAAATCGCATCATATGACCCCTTTAAAAACAAAGAAAGGGGGGATACTGGGAGACTATGTGATGCTACAAACTATTAAAAATGGAAATGTAAGGGCCTTGGGTATTCATGTTTTCGGACATGTTTTTAATTGGTAACATGCAAGCAGTGGTGACTCTGCAGAGAGGCATCAAAGTAGATTTAGCCCACAGGTTATCTGGACTGATGGACGGAAAGTAAATAATATGTCATTGTGACCATGGTCCATTGGTGCCCAAGTGCTCATAAACCCAAGCTCTGCTGGGTATATGCAGTGACTGAATAATTCAGAGATTACCACTAGCCTACTATATGTGCAGTGTTGTTGTGGGGCCATGTTGTCATTTTAATGCAATGAAATTACCATTGTCATCAGATATATATTGTGCAGGAGACTTTGGTTTTTGCTGTGTTCACATCCTGGTCCATTCACTGGGTATGAATATGCTACTTCTCTACTACACAGTATGCGAAAAGCAGTACGCCAGAAGAGTAGTATGTCTGAATACATAGTATTCAAAAAACAGTAGGCAAAAAGTATCCGAATGTCACTTTTAATGCTTGCAACGTTAGTTCTTTGTCAAAAGTACTCTCGGACACAGCTCCTTTCTATTTGTCTCTCAATAAAAATGGAAAAAGTACCTGGAAAGAAAACCAATAAGAAATGGCTACTTATAGGGAAAAGTAGAATCATATTGTGTGGCTATGGTTATTGGTTGAATAGTCATTATAATAAACACTGCAGATCCTCAAACCAATTTAGTCCATTAAACAGTAGGCTACATAGTTGGCAGAACTGAGGAAGAGTTAACTTTATAATCGGGTAGGAGACGGGTAGGTTTAGGTATATGTAAGTTGGAGGAGTTGGATCTGGATCCAACCACGCCCCCTGGATCTTGTGTTCTGCAGTGAGGACCATCTCGCCGTATGAGGCAATGACTTTGCAGGCAGCGTTTTTGCACGAAGGCACCTCATGAAACTGATTTCGGACAGGCTTCTGAGGCAGCATAACGGTTTAATGATCTACAACAAAATAGAACGAGTTTTTGTGATAACTAAACGAATATTTAATTACTATAATATTGATTTCTTGCTAGAAATAACATCAAAAGTGCAAAAAGTTAGTCAGAAATATACATTTACACACAAACTGACCACCAAACACAACTTTCAGACGCCATCTTTATTTTTTAGCTTAACCGTCACGGGATGGAACGCACAGGATTGTGGGATATCAAAGGCAGCGAAGGATACATACTGTATATGCTGCCTTCAAAATTCGATCAGAAGAAGGTACCTCCGGAGACAGGAAGTAAAGCAGAATTTGAATTCGGACGTGCCTTGATGCCTTCCTGACTTGGAATGCTGCCTCCGAAGGCAGCATTTTAGAGTTTTCGGCTCCAAAGTTTCCAAACAAATATCTACTGCGCAGACTCGGGCTCCAAATGACGTCATTTACTCAAGATGGCAGCGGCCATACTGAGATGCTTTGGCTTCACTTTTCTATAGTGGAAGGAATAGGAGACGCGTCGTCCATCTTTTTTAACAGTCTATGGTGTCTACCCTCGTTAACCCCCACCCATCCCACTCCACCCCAGAAACAGCCGTACACGTTTTTGTTGTTGTTGTTGTTTATGCTATCAGCAATATAATATATAATTGGTTGAGCAAATGATAACCAAACTCATTACCCAATACTTAATTAACAACACATTGAAGTCCACTAAGCATGCTTCTGTTCAAATTAAACCAAATAATCCATACAGTAAGATCACTGATCAACAGATGCACATGTATATTGGATAAAGCATAAGGTAACACTTTATTTTAAGGTGTCCTTGTTACACATTACATGAACTTACTATTATAATAACAATTATGCATAATTACATGCAAGTAACACTAAGCCAAACCCTAATCCTAACCCTAAAGTAAGTACATGTAGTTAATTAATATTACTCAAAACTTAAATGTATAATTACACTGTAACAAGGACACCTTAAAATAAAGTGTAACCAAGCATACATTAAGTATAGATGTTCACTCTAGCTGTAGAAAGAGATTTT